TTTGCTGCCTGTCCCACTGTCCTGTTGAAATAGGTAGGCATTGTTGCACGTGATAAATCACGTAGCTGCTCTTCATCTCACTTCTGTTGCCGTGAGAACAAGCGATATACGTTAGCTGGGGCACATCTGATACACGCAAGAACACAGTAAAAATTGCTGTCCAGAGCAATACACTTATCCGGTTATCTATGCTGTTAGTGTGATCCATTCCTACTCATCTATCTAGCGGAACCTTGACGACACTCCTAGGCCCACCCGCACCACAATCTTTCCCCGTGCCCAAACCGCTGGAACTTTAATCAGTACTACACACTGGCTCATTACCGCTTCCTCAGTCCGTGTAGCAGTATTGCTATGTTTAGCATTGTCATGTTATGCCAAACTATGCTGGAAAAAAATTTGCTGTTCATCGTTGAATTCAGAATAAGGGTGGTTTCATAAATACAGTTAAATAGATGGTGCGATAAGCGCTTGGGCTTATTCAACACTTCACCCGATCTCGGAATCTCAGGCGATCGCGTTGCGTTATTCAAGTATCTACCGTTGGCCAGCTAATCGATCGAATGATCCAGTCAGCTCGTTATCTTGATTTAGGAAGCTTTGGAAAAAGTGTTTGCCGATTAACTAAAAAGAAATGCGACAGCTATCCGAGTGCGTCATAAAGAAGAATTATTAGTATCCATTTCGTGTACACCTTGACTGCAAGCACACGGCCGTTCTGACTGCTAGCGCAGCCTCGGTTACTTTCCCCATTTGGCACCGGCCAAATCACCTCGAGGTTAAACTAACTCCAGGTTGTCACGTGACAGCATATCAATACGCTCGGCCAGTGCATGAGCTTGGATAAGCTTGATCAATGTTCTTCCGTGCTTGAAACAGGTGAGCTTGTTGACTAGATCGTGTGTGTTTACTCCGTCGATCCAAACGAACCGATGAACCGATGGCCAATAGGCGGGCAACACAATACCAATGATTGATTCAGTGAGATTCAGATTACGCCGCAGTGAGACGGTGCACGAAACTGATTCACGCATTTAGCTTTCCTTATGAAATCATATGTATGAATGTGTTTGGGTAATGGGTGAGTCAACCTATTTTAACAGGGTGATAAGAAACAGAAGGACTGTGACGAACATGGCATGCTCGATCTAGCTGTGCATACAAACACACACACAAATCTTCAAACATTTGGATCCGATAAAAACTAACCAAGAGAACGGCCTTGCTCTCGAGTTGCTCCCAGGCTGTTCGGGGTCTGCAACAAACTGCTTACAAGGTATTTTTGGGCCTCGATCTGATATCCATTGTATCTTGTTTCTCCGTACAGTTCTGTATGCCTCTACTGCACGTCATCCGTTGACTTCCATGTGGTCTTTTTGGCCTTAGATCGATCAGTAACTGTAAACTGGGTTCGATGCAGTACTCATCAACCGGCATTTGCTTTCCCCAAACAACACCAGAGCTCACAAAGCTCCACATAGTGCACCAGTTTGCCTACACACTCAAGCGGTGNGCTTACTTAGTTGATGTAATCGCTTTTCTGGCTCAGTTATAAGTGAATTACTAACTGAACGATGCCTATTTGTCAATCATTGTTTTCCTTCGAAATACAATTCCGATTCTGATTCGGTGCCCCATTTGTTACAATATTTTTGACCTTCCTTGGTGCACATTATCTAATCCGCTGGATCGAAACTTCTTTTGTTTTAGTTAACGGAACTCAGTCTCATAACGCTGAACTTTTTGCACTCATTGATTGCTAGGTGACTTTTAACTTCTGGGGAGAAGGACCGTCCTGTGATCTCATTTCTTTTTTTTCAGTCTATCTCAGTGACTTATGCACTGCTCTGGTCCTCACTTGGCACACAATCTCCTGCATTGCGCTTCCACATAGTTTCCCTTAATCTTCCTCTAATCCTTCCTGCCGGTTTCTACCTAATACCTTGGCACTCCTTTCGTAGACCCATCATTTCTATCTTCCTCGATCTGAAAGCGGCTTTCTACTCACTCGACCGCCCCGAACTCTGGTGCTGCATCTCCCTGAGCGGTGTGTCCGAGAAGTTTATTTCTATCTTACAATCCCTTTATACTAATAGCCGAGTACGGGTTTAAGGCACCTATTCGTCCGAGTTCACCACGGAAAGTGGTGTTCGTCATGATTACCTCTTCTCTTCTCTCCTTTTCTATTCAACTTCGTGATGGATTGAATTCTTGAACCAGTCCTATCCCCGTGCGAGGGTAGTGGAATTCAGTTACTTTCGAGTGGTAGATTGATCTGGCGTATGCAGGTAATATTGTGCTGCTTAGCGAAGATCACGGTAAATTGCAAGCTGTTCTGGATAGTCTCAGACTAGTTTAACCACGTTTGGTATGCGTTTTGCACCTTCAAAATGTACAATGGTGCTACAAGACTGGGTTGGTCCAGCACCCAGCCTCACTCATATTGATGAAGAAATAACAGACCAAGTGGAAGCGATTCCTTAGTTGTGCAGCTTTATCTCACCCGGTGGCCGGTGTCAGCTCGCATAGAGAAGGCTCGGTTGGCATTTGCCAACTTGAAACATCTGTGCTGCCGTCGCGACATCCGGTTGTCCATGAAGGGTCGAGTATATTCTGCAGCAGCTCGGCCAGTTCTGCTATACGGCGCACAAACTTGGTCATTACAGGAACAGAATATAGATAGATTATCGGTATTTGGACAATGCTGTCTACGCAGCATTGCACGAATCTGGTGGGAAACCTGACAAGCAAGTTTGGGCGCAAAGTTTTGGGTAAATACGGTCGCCCACTGAAACAAGTGGGCGACCTCCATCAATTACGCTGGTTGGAGTATGTGTTACGCATGTCACCAAATAGGTTGACACGGTGCGCGATGTTTGGCCGGGCAGGCAGCGGATAGAAAAAGGTCCAGGATAATCAAACCACGACCTGGTGAGAGGGTATGAAGACCCCAACCGGGGTACCTGATCACATGGGCCCTGTTAGGCTCCCTGGCTGGGGACCTCGCGATGATGGTCACCGATGGTTAGCTACACTGAGTGACATGACTGGGTATCGCAAACAGTGATGCTCATGCATCTATGAAATGTCTTTTTACTTCCTTTTTCTATTTAGTGAATATACAAATGTACAGTAAACTTTCAGGAAGGCGGCTGCGGCCATACAAAGGCTGCCTGGGGAAAATACAGATATAAGGAAGACGGGCGGCGGTGGAGCGGGCACACCCAAGCCACTAGTTGGTGAGCTAACCACATGGCCACCACCGCCATCTACTCATTATTCTCTAAACATCAGTCTATATGAATTCTCTATCTTCTGCTTGAATTTGCTTTCAACATTTCAATCTTCGTTCTGCTGTTTTTCTCCAAATGGGCGACCAAAACCGGCCCACGAATGTGCATGGTTAATGGTTGTAAAAACTGAACTGAACCTAATACCTTTTGAATGTACACCAACACTAGTATCTTTTTTGCTCTCAGGTTCTCAGCCGTTGCGTGTCAATCATTTTTTTCACTACCCATTCTATTCTCTCAGACGAATACGGTAATAAATGAAGTTTATGCACACAAAAATGCAATTCGCGCATGTTTCTTCCGTATTTTGAACTGGATAAAAACGAGGGCAATAAGACTTTCAACAGTCAATTTTATTTTTGCCAAGTGTGTGTGTGCGCGCGCGCGTTTTACACCTCTCTGAGTCCAGACGGTGCCCCAAACAAATCACGATACAATAATCTTCATAAAAAGCAGAAAAAGTTTCACGATTTGTTTGTGGGTGGAATACTGTCAAGTTGCCCAGGCCAAGACAGGTGAATTTTATTGGGGAATTCGCAACCGGAGCCTTCGACTAGTCAAAATCTGACCCACAGAGCAATGGGGCGGTGAGTGAAAACCGGATTTGTCGGAAGCCGGTGTCCAGTTCATCGGATCATAGACCTTTTCGGACGGGGTCAAACGTCCAAGGTGCCCAATACACCTCAAGGCCCGATCGTGCAAGTGACCAGTCACACACACACACACACATATATATATATATGCCGTCTCGGTTAAATCGTAACTGCACTCACCCATCATGCGATTTGAAAGAAGTGTATGGATTGTTCGGGCTTTTGGCTCTTCTGAAACGAAGGGTTGTTTAAGGACTCACATCTTGATCGATCTTCAAAAGTGTCCTATTGTGAGCGTGAAACTGTTTATGTCCAGAAATCTTACACGAGGATGCCTTGGATAGGATAGCAAAGAGAAGCTTAAATCGTGACTGCACTGCTTGTCTGAATACTGTATATATTTTTGGATATTAAGAGAATGATTGTGCGGTATGATAAGCTGGGAAACCTCCATGCTCGGAACGGATGTAGACGACATTTTTCACTCTAGCTTAACTTTCATTGATTCCGGTTTCATTTTAGACATCGATCAATATGTGCTTCGGTCAAACCTACTGCTTCTTATTGAACCACACGAGAATGCAGATGAATGGAGGTGGGGGAAACAGTTGCGAAATTCCTTAGGAACACATTCCCAGCTCCCTGCACCATGCCTTAGCAAACTTCGGTGTATCCGAATTATCGTGAGGCGCAAAAAAAAGTAATTTTAAAATACCGATTATGACCATAATATTCATTTGGTATGTGGTATCAGGTCCCACAAATTATTGCAGTGTTTCAAGATGTCAGCATCCACCTATTTTCCGTATGGTCACTGGGAGATTTTTGGGCAACGGATTTGAATTCAGACAGGAAACAGACCCTCGCTGTTGCTATATCCGGTCGCATACTACTATACGGTGCAGAAACTTGGCAATTAAAGCAGAATCAAAATAGATTGTCAGTTTTAATGCGATGTGATAATCAAAAAAGAGCACTGGACAGCTGTTTCATCCTGTTTGGGACTCGTCAGTAGTGCGTACTTTTTGTGTCCCTGTCAGGACTCGAACTTCAAACTCTTACCCCTGAGCTACACGGTAGACGGTTATCGCCTTGTGCGAATGGTTCAATCAATTTAGATGATGAATGTTTGGATTAGTCCATTCGGTTTTTCACAGGCACCTGGCGGGGAAACCTGACAAGCAATGCTGAGGTTAGGCTCAGAGTTCTAGGTAACCCCGGTCGCCCACTGGAGAAAGTGGGATGTGTGCTGCACACGTCACCAGACAGGTTGCCACGGCGTGCGATATTTGCCGAGGCAGGCAGCGGATAGAAAAGGTCCAGGACGATTAAACTGCGACCTGGCACGAGGTATGAGAACCCTAACCAGGAGTCTGGGCCCTGTTAGGCTCCCTGGCTGGGGACCCCGAGATAATGGTTAGAGACAGTCAGCGATATGACTGCGTGTCGTGGGCAGTGGTGTTCATGCTTCTTTGCAACATTACTGAAATTTCAAATTTTCTCTACGATTCAACTTTCCTGTCCTTCTCCTACTGTTCTTTCAAATGGGCAGCCAAAATTGACGCATGAAAGTGCAGTCAGTTTGCCCCTTGTTACTCTGCAAACATGGCTCTCGGATGATGAATCACTGTTTCATGTCGAATTTGATATGAATTGACATGCTTCATTGGTCGTCATTTCGGTGCAAAAATACTTCACAAAATGTCGTTGCAAACACTGGCCTTAAAGTGCTTCTCTCGCTTCGTAAATCCCATTCGTCCCTGACAATCAGATGCAACATTGAAGTAGCTTGATAGAGGAGGGTTCGACAAGGCCTTGACTTCGTTTTTTGTTGCCAAAACTGACCAATATTATTTAATTGGTTTAGATCGAAATGTATACCCGAACTTCGCAGACCTATCTGGTTTGTGTTACAATCCAACACAGCTAATCACGTTCCCTTTCATTGATTTATCGTTTCAGATATTATTGTCTCCACTGAAAGAGAATCATAGCAACAAACGGAGTCTTTCCCCATGCACTTCTTGCAAACATTATTATTTGGACCGAAAACACACTCGACCATGTGTGGCATTCCATTCCACTCCACTCCATCCCCTCACAGTTACAATCTGTAATCTCTGTGGGATGAACAACAACAAAAAAAACACAATAATGGTTCATCGTTGTTTGTTTGTTATTTGAAACATTTTTCATTGTTTTGCCACTTGAAAAAAAGTAATGCTT